GAAGGCGGTGTATGGACCGAGATTGGAGCCGCTGAGAACACTGATCGATGGTAGTTCAAGCGCTACATGCACACAGACTGCAGACATAATGCGGATCTGGCGCAAACAATTAGACTGTCTCTTGAACAACCGTTCATAGATCGACTGCCCTAATTTGAACGGCCTTAAGCAGCACAATGTGAAGGCGAATCTGGCGGACACGCTGACGCTGCATGAGACGCAGAGAGCACTTGCTCAGCTGCGAAACGGCAAGTGTGTCAGGGCCGACGGGATCCCGCCTGACGTATTGGAACACGGCGGACCCGCATTGGTGACTGCGTTGCACCATTTGGTGCAACGAGTATGGATTGAGGAGGAGGTGCCTGCTGAGTTGAAGGATGTCCTTGTGTTACCACTGTACAAGGACCAAGGAAGCAAGCAATGTTGCACGAATTATCATGGCATTAACTTGCTGAGTTGTGTGGGCAAGGTGATCGCCCGAATCCTACTCAACCGCCTCGTCAGTCAGGTTGTGGAACCTAACGTGGCGGAAGAGCAGTGTGGATTCCGTTCGGGTCGCAGCACTATCGATAAGGTGTTTGAGGCTCGTCAGTTGCAGGAGAAGTGCAGAGAACGACACCAGCCTTTGTACTCGCTTTTTGTTGATTTCACCAAGGCATTTGATACGGTGAACCGCGAGGCATTGTGGTTGGTGTTGGCTAAGTTTGGTTGCCCGCGGAAGTTTGTAAGTTTAATTGAATGTCTGCACAGCGGTATGCGAGCGAGGGTGCAGCTGAGTGCAGAGACGTCGGATGATTTTGCAGTTGTCCCTGGTGTGAAGCAAGGCTGTGTCTTAGCTCCTGCCCTGTTTAATATTTATCTTCATGCAATGATGTCTTGTGCTTTTGATGCCGCTTGTGCTTACGGTGTTCGTGTGGAGCACCGTATTGATGGTGGGTTACTGAACATCCGTCGCTTCGGTGCGAGAACTCTAGTCTGTGAGACAACTATCCGTATGTTGCTGTTTGCTGACGACTGTGCGTTGTTTTCACACAGCGCGGATGAGTTGCAGCACATGACTAGTGCTCCGGCTTCGACAGCGGCCAAATTCGGGCTCACCATCAACACAAGCAAAACTGTCTGTCTCTTTCAGCCTTCACCGGAGGTGCAATCTTCAATATTGTCGCGAATCAGCCTTGGTGCTGAAATATTGGAAACCACCTCCCGCTTCTGCTGCCTTGGGAGTATGATGTCGACTGATCAGCAGCCACACAGTGAGTTGCGTATTCGCGTGTCGAAGGCGGCAGCCGCATTCGGAAAGCTTGAGTACCGAGTGTGGAACAACCATCAGCTTAGCATTGGCACGAAGCTGATGGTGTACAAATCCATGGTACTGTCCGTTCTTCTATATGGCAGTGAAACGAGGACAATGTACCGGCGGGATGTGCGATATCTCGAGCGGTTCCATTGATTGCGACGGATTGTGCCTATCGGTTGTTGCGACAGAGTTGCAGACACGGAAGTTTTGCGCCGAAGTGGAATAAATGCAGTGGACTGTATACTTCTGCTGAGACACCAGAGGTGGCTCGGTCATGTGAGCCGTATGGATTCGATGCGGATACCGAAATAACTATTTTATGGTCAGCTGAGTATTGGGAAGCGGCATGTGGGGAAACCAAAGTTACGTTACCAGGACATGATCAAAGTGAGCCTCTGACGTTCTAATCTTGATTGCAGGTCATAGGAATCGAAGGCAGTTGATGGGCGTGAACGGCGTGATCTGATCACGAAGGCAGTAGCCGAAGTGCGGGAGAAAGATCACACGCATGCAGAGAAAAAGCGGCAATTGTGGGTTGTAGTCCATCGACATCGAGTGCATGGTGCTGTAGCACATGCGGTCGCGAGTGCCTGAGTCAGGCAGGCCTAGTGAGCCATGAGCGAGGCCACTCGGATCCAGTACCGAAGCGACGACGCGTCCTGCAGAGAACGTAGGCAGAACCGGCGCAGCGTTTGTAGGTACGCTGCATACCATTTGCTAACCGTGTGCTTGCATGCTAAGTCTATTTATTTCAGGTGGTGGGTTTGCAATTTTGTCCTAATGCTTTTCTTTGCCATATTAATGTCCACTAGTACTCTCTTCTATAAACTTGCACACGTCGTTGAAGCTAATTGTAGTCAATTTCCATAACATTTTCGTGTTTGTGGCAGTTCCTTAAAATATGTTTTCTGACCTCTTGGACTTAGCGAGGATTTGTTCGTAGTCAATCTTTTCTCATAGGCCCATTTAGTGAAGAGTTATCTCTCCATATCTATATGCATTATCTGATTTATTTTCTTGTAGCTTGTCGTTTCCAGTGATTGCCTGTTGCTTGATATCACCGGTGTGGCTGCGCTTGATGTGCAAGTTGATAAGGTGCCTACCTGTCTATTATCCACTACCTCGTAACTACTGGCTCCAGGAGGAAGCTGGTCGTCGCTGGAGAGGACGGGGTGCACGGTCCTTGTGGCCGTGCTAGCATCAAAGAATGGTTACATGCACTGGAGCGGACTACGGTCCAGCCACCGCCTAGTGTGCGCTTAATTCCCAAATACAGCGTGCTTGTGTTTGCCTGTGAAGGAGTGTGGGCCGGCTCCGTTCATGACGTGGCATAGAGGCATGCAGAAATTGACCGGTGCCTGCCCTGTTCGTTAGTTGGGGCAGGGGACGAGATGGCCCACAGCAGTGGTTTGAAACCCTACCAGACATGGCGCAGTCTCGCAGTCAATGGCGTCTCTACATTCGGTTTCTTGCATCTAGCGGTCGAGTTTCATTCCGCCCCCATTAGTTTAACGTACCTCCTATTTCTTTTTTCTTTTCTTTCTTTCTTTACATTATCTTTGCATGAACTCTCAGTTCCTTGTTGTCATCTATCTTTATGAGTCGTGGCAACTGGGTCCACCCCACGTCGATGCCCGGATCATGGCTGTTCAAGTGAACTGAAGTGTGCTGTTTGCGAAAAATAAACTTGCATCCTCGTACGAATGCCGCAACCGCCAACCGTCATCGTTGCGGCAGCCCACGCTATGAAGACCACCTAGTTGGAGCTCATTTTTGGACACGAGCGTACAAATCTCTAGCCGGCACTACAGTATCCGAACTTCTTCCGTGACGAAGTATCTCGTTCAATTGATGATCTGATTAATCTTTCACGAAATCAGTGCCGATGTTTTTGTGTGTTTGGACAGCAGTGACAAACAGGCACATGTTGTCGTTGTATGACTTCGTGGCTTTGACCGAGTCAACTAATCCAACGTTGCACGTCCGAGTACTTTTGTGATCTCATCGATCAGGGCAGTTTCGCTCTAGTACTGTGAACACTAGCCTGGGGGTAATTACCTCCAAAGGGACGAAATGCGATTTGACGGGGGATAACGATAAGCACATCGCTCAGTCACGAAACCAACTACTTAACTGTACCAATTCATCTAACTATTTTCATAATTTGAAAAATCGCATGGGTGCATGGGTGCTAAGACTTCTTACAGTGGATGAAGGAATATCTCCAGATGCTTCGCGAAGAAACGGCACTAAAAGTGAAATCCGAAAAACCCGGCAACGTTTTTGGTGAACAATGATGGCTTATATATATATATATGCATATATATATATATATATATATATTAGCCATCATTGTTCACCAAAAACGTTGCCGGGTTTTTCGGATTTCACTTTTAGTTGCTGTCGACATGGCTAAGATTCGACACTAGCATCACTTGTTTTACCTTATCCTCCTCTTAATCCTCCTATGATCTCATTCTTAACGCATACTAAAGAAGAGATCGGATATTACTTGGTACCCTTTCTTACGGCAGCACAACAGATGAGGCAATTCTTAACTAGAAGTAACTTGCATACCGATAAGAATGGTGATGCGGTGATCCTCTGTATCCCTTTAGGTGATGGCACAAAAATGTCTACGATAAACAAAAATTAAACGAGGTGCGGATGCGACGAGGAGCGAAATAAGCCCGGGAATAAGAAAAACAACGTAGCGCAATTGGATCCTGACGAGAATAAGGGTAAATTTTACTTACCAATATGTCAAGTCGCGAAAAATGTGCCAGTGTTCTCGACATCACCAACTCGATATCCTTCGGGTCCAGCAGATCGGCTTTTATGTATATATAGGGCTCCTCGTCGGATGAAAAATGCCCTTTTCCAGCTGTTTTACAGGCCGCTAAAGTCTCCTCCAAGCGCTGCTCATCTCGAGCCACAAGAGCCAAGCGTGAACCCAGTCGAGCAAACAGGATAGCCGTGCATCGACCGATGCCGGAACTCGCACCTATGGACACAACGAACAAGTGGTGGGTCATGAAGAAAAAGGTACCGGCAAGTGTGCAATTTCAGTCACTTTAAACGAAAAATGCACTTTACGTTAGCTCAGGTACGAAAAAAATTCTGGCTAAATGTGACAACAGATTAGAGCAACAAATGAATATTTTAATGTTGTAACGAAACGAAAGAAACAGAAATAGAAAGTTACATGACAGACGACAGTGAAATGCAGCGAGTACAAAAGAAAAATGAGGAAAGCGGGAAGCAAAACAAACTGCGTGTGCACTTCAAGTATTCCATTGGCGTGGAGTACGGTAATAATAATAATAATAAAATAATGTGTCATCTGTACACCGTAACGGCGCTTCGCTGCCTCGAGACCACCACGAGTCGCGCGCTGGCTGAGTATACCACGAGGACGCTCACCCGTACGCGGAATCGAACCGGTGACCTTATGGTTGCAAAGCAAATGTGCAAACCACTCGGCCACCGGCCGACGTGGAGTACGGTAGCTTAGTTCATTACTCGATCAACGTATACGTTAAGCGTCATTGAGTAAAGTGAGATCAATAAAGAACCGCAAACTGGCAGCTGTCAATTGCACTACCGAACCCTGCAACACACTGCAAAAACCAGGCTGAATAAAGCAACAGTACAAACACATTTCATTATGAGCATGAAATAGCGGCAAAAAGACTCGCAAATTTAACAAACATACATTTATTATAAGGTAAGATTAAAAATGAAAAATGAAATCTACCACAAACAAACTGCCACCCAACGGACTGACCAGATGCATAGGCAAATACGAAGCCAGTGAATTGTGAGTACCTCAGATAAATGTGTTCCCAGGCAGACCGCGTGTAACATACTCACAAAGCACAGCTAACGAGAAAAGCTAACTCACTTATCAAGCCTAGGATATGCTGGGCAATGGAGCTTGCAGCCAGTTTGGGACCGTTCATGAGTATCGTACGCGGAATGTGCGCAAAAATCCTAATCGATAGCCTTCTCTCAGTTCGGAGACAAGTAATGTTCTCATATGTGAAAAAGGTCAAGAAAGTAACTGGTATCAGTCTCGTCTCAAAGACCCTCAGAATACTCAGTTACAACATACAATTGTGACTCACCACCCAATCTTGTGGGAGACGAAACAGTGGAATTCAGGCTGGATTTTACGTCGGCAGAGAATGCCTTGAACACATTTCTCGAAAATCACTGAATCTATACCTTTCATGAACAGCGGAGTACTCATGCTTCATGGGTGGGTGAATGGATAAACAGGGATTGATATTGTGTGCAGACCACGGCAGCCACTGACAGATGGAGAATAGGGATGAGACTGGACTTCGGTATCAAACAACAGCTTGTGAGCCTCTATGACCCAATGAGTGTTAATGCGCCGAGATTCAGGGCAGCTCGGAAGCTATTCCTGCCAGGTTGGTGAGTCAAATGTCATGGACCTTCATGTTAGAAACTGGAACGGAGTTGCAGTTGGTCTGGGGGAAAATGGCTTAACCTTTAGATTGTCGGCAAATTCAGATCGCTTCTTGGTCAGATGTTCTGAGTCAAATCAATACAACAAAAGCGTTATGTACCCAAATGGGTACATTTTCAACAGTAAACATTATCAACTGTAATTTTACAAAATGTGCATTATTAAAAATCCAAGTTTACAAATGGATGAATAAGATGAGGAGAGCGAACTGCCACCACTCGAGTAAGCGGCCAGGCTTCAAGAGCAATGACCGCCCAATGCTGAACTGAAGCAACGGCATTTGAATCCAATCAAAAGAGAAGCTTTATTAAAACGTCACACCATAATTCGTTATGGCTGACGTAAAAGTGTATCCAAATACGTAACCAGAGGTAGCAGTATCACGCTGATACGCAGTGCCGACGATTCACTGCCGCGCAACCACCACCGGTCGCATGTGGGCTAAGGATACTGCGACGGTCGCCCTGCCCCTACGCGGACGCGAACTCGCGCCGTCAAATTACAGGGCAAGCTCGGTACCTACAGGCTACAGGCCGGCGTAAAAACAACAGAGAAAGTGCGCAATATCCCAGCTTTTTTATTTCAACCGTGGATAAAGCAGAATGGTTGCAATGACCTAGAAATCGCTTGAACAAAACATGTCAGCTCATTCCTGTAAAACTGATAAATCTAGTGTGTCCCATAGGTTTGGACCGATCCCAGTAATCCAACCATAATCCGTACCCTTCAAGGATGCATTTACTACGTAAATAAGAAAACCCCAGTATCTGTACTGCTTGTCCGACTATTCAATAGGCAAGTTGCGTTGGACAGTAAGCGCACACACGCATCTGCGTTTGGGGGGCGCACAATGGTGTGCGAAGCAGTGGATATACTCTACGCTTTAGTGGCATGCATGGCAGCCCTGCAACAGAGTCCGTTCGTCGAGAGATGAGCACAGAGAGAGCACATGAGCCAGTCGTACGATCGATAACTTCGGTCGCAGCGCGGCATGTTGACTAACGTTCGTTCGGAGAAAACCAGACCGAAACCCAGAAGAAGCTTACTTGGCAGTGAAACGGACGGACTGTCGTTGGATCATGCTGGTTGAAACGAGAGATGAGATACAGATAGTACAGATTAGCAGTCTGACTGTTGGTCGCTGGTACAAGACCATCGCAATGAGGCTGGATCTTACCGTGGTGCGATGGTTTGTGTGACTCAACGATCCATTGAGCTATGCTGGGTGGTGCATCGTTGCACCTTCAGAGTCACTCATACCAGATTGGTCAATGGTTAGAGGCCAGACAAACTCAGCCTCCTGGTCCTCCAGGTTGGCGGTTGGAATGAGGGTGGCACCTTATTCCTTAAAACGGACTCCTTGTAGCCCAATGCCAAACCCGCTGTCTTGAGGTCAGGTTTTTGAAACAAAGGCTTTGGTTGAGAACCCTAATCGTTCTCCTCTCTAGGCCTTGACAACCTGACAGCATCCTGCCCACGCAATACGATGAATCTTACCTCAAACAATTTCCTGATGCTCTGAACACCGTAGAGGATAATCAACGGTGCCCTATCTGCTGCATCGAGCAGGGTGCATAGGGGTTTGGATGCCACTGCTCAAGCCTTCCCGTTTTCTTATTCCCCTCTTACGCTTTTTCACTCTTACCGTCCCCTTCTAACTTCACTTATATCCCCCTGTTTTTAACCCCCCGATTATTGGCCCTCCCCCAACATGCTTTGCTAGGCATTTGTCTACTAATTTCAACTCACATGTGAACGCGGGGCGTCACTCCTCTGCTGTCGACAAGTCCAAGTCCAACCAAGCGGTCCATTCCAGTTCACCGGCTTCCATTTGGAGCCCTCGATTCTCCTTTAAATTGACATGCCTCAATGTACGCACACTGCTACAAATCGGTCAACAGGCAGCATTTTCCCGAACACTAGCGGCCCTCTCAATCGGTAGCTGCTGCTTATCAGAGACCCGCCTGCAAGACTCGAGCTCTGTACGCACTTTACGATCCCCTTCAGATGACGCAAGCAGTATTTTCTCATTGCGCGTATCCGGTGACGATGCAGCTTCAAGCACCAGCCAAGCTGGGGTTGGCATTGCTCTGACTCACAGTCTGTGTGTATCTCTCTCTTTCCTCAACTCACTTCACGGTATGTTTGTGGTGGAAAGAGAGAGATACACACAGACTGTGAGTCAGAGCAAATGCCAACCCCCAGCTTGGCTGGTGCTTGAAGCTGCTTCGTCCACCGGTTAACGCGCAATGAGAAAATACTGCTTGCGTCCCATCCTGATGGGGATCGTAAAGGTGCGTTACCGAGCTCGAGTCTTGCAGGCGGGGTCCCTCTGATAAGCAGCAGTTATCGATTGAGAGGGGCCGCTAGTGTTCGGGAGAAAATGCTGCCTGTTTGACCGATTTGTAGGCTGTGTGCGTAACATTGAGGCATGCCAATCTGAAGGAGGATCGAGGGCTCCAAATGGAAGCCGATGAACTGGAATGGACCGCTTGGTTGGACATGGGCTTGTCGACAGGAGAGGAGTGACGCTCCGCGTTCACATGTGAGTTGAAATTAGAAGATAACTGCCTAGCAAAGCATGTTGGGGGAGGGCCAATAATCGGGGGGTTGAAAACAGGGGGATATAAGTGAAGTTAGAAGGGGACGGTAAGAGTGAAAAAGCGTAAGAGGGGAATAAGAAAACGGGAAGGCTTGAGCAGTGGCATCCAAACCCCTATGCACCCTGCTCGATGCAGCAGATAGGGCACCATTGATTATCCTCTACGGTGTTCAGAGCATCAGGATATTGTTTGAGGTAAGATTCATCGTATTGCGTGGGCAGGATGCTGTCAGGTTGTCCAGGCCTAGAGAGGAGAACGATTAGGGTTCTCAACCAAAGCCTTTGTTTCAAAAACCTGACCTCAAGACAGTGGATTTGGCATTGGGCTACAAGCAGTCCGTTTTAAGGAATAAGGAACAATCGTCATTCCAAAATCCAACATGGAGGACCAGGAGGCTGAGTTTGTCTGGCCTCTAACCATTGACCAATCTGGTATGAGTGACTCTGAAGGTGCAACGATGCACCACCCAGCATAGCTCAATGGATCGTTGAGTCACACAAACCATCGCACCACGGTAAGGTCCAGCCTCATTGCGATGGTCTTGTACCAGCGACCAACAGTCAGACTGCTAATCTGTACTATCTGTATCTCATCTCTCGTTTCAACCAGCATGATCCAACGACAGTCCGTCCGTATTCACTGCCAAGTAAGCTTCTTGTGGGTTTCGGTCTGGTTTTCTCCGAACGAACGCTAGTCAACATGCCGCGCTGCGACCGAAGTTATCGATCGTACGACTGGCTCATGTGCTCTCTTTGTGCTCATCTCTCGCCGAAGGGACTCTGTTGCAGGGCTGCCATGCATGCAACTAAAGCGTAGAGTATATCCACTGCTTCGCACACCGTTGTGCGCCCCCCAAACGCAGATGCGTGTGTGCGCTTACTGTCCAACGCAACTTGCCTATTGAATAGCCGGACAAGCAGTACAGATGCTGGGGTTTTCTTATTTACGTAGTAAATGCATCCTTGAAGGGTACGGATTATGGTTAGATTACTGGGATCGGTCCAAACCTATGGGACACACTGTAGCTTTATCAGTTTTACAGGAATGAGCTGACATGTTTTGTTCAAGCGATTTCTAGGTCATTGCAACCATTCTGCTTTATCCACGGTTGAAATAAAAAAGCTGGGATATTGCGCACTTTCTCTGTTGTTTTTACGCCGGCCTGTAGCCTGTAGGTACCGAGCTTGCCCTGTAATTTGACGGCGCGAGTTCGCGTCCGCGTAGGGGCAGGGCGACCGTCGCAGTATCCTTAGCCCACATGCGACCGGTGGTGGTTGCGCGGCAGTGAATCGTCGGCACTGCGTATCAGCGTGATACTGCTACCTCTGGTTACGTATTTGGATACACTTTTACGTCAGCCATAACGAATTATGGTGTGACGTTTTAATAAAGCTTCTCTTTTGATTGGATTCAAATGCCGTTGCTTCAGTTCAGCATTGGGCGGTCATTGCTCTTGAAGCCTGGCCGCTTACTCGAGTGGTGGCAGTTCGCTCTCCTCATCTTATTCATCCATTTGTAAACTTGGATTTTTAATAATGCACATTTTGTAAAATTACAGTTGATAATGTTTACTGTTGAAAATGTACCCATTTGGGTACATAACGCTTTTGTTGTATTGATTTGACTCAGAACATCTGACCAAGAAGCGATCTGAATTTGCCGACAATCTAAAGGTTAAGCCATTTTCCCCCAGACCAACTGCAACTCCGTTCCAGTTTCTAACATGAAGGTCCATGACATTTGACTCACCAACCTGGCAGGAATAGCTTCCGAGCTGCCCTGAATCTCGGCGCATTAACACTCATTGGGTCATAGAGGCTCACAAGCTGTTGTTTGATACCGAAGTCCAGTCTCATCCCTATTC